CCAAGAGGCCAACGGCATGCTGGAAAGACCTGCGCACAGGCACAGTTTGGCAATCTGTTTCTCTCGGCTTCCTCGTCGTCCTTTTCTGGTGACGGGCAGCATGATCATAACACTAGTCTGTGCCCTGACATCCCTGACAAATGCCAGTGGGAAGCCAGCCACGATGATTGGCAGGATTGTCGTGCACGCACCCTTTGTTAAACCCTTTCTGATGCTCCCAAGTTGTTAGACAAAGCTTTTTGCGGGGCCCTGACGCTCTTTTTGGTGCATCTCGACCTGAGATATGCATCGTAGGAGTCCAAGTACCGGTCAAGGTGTCGACGCAAATCCCACCACGATGCGTCCATCGCTCTTAGCGTTGCCTTGAAAGACAATTCTCGCAACTCGTCCTGGGGTGTGCAGCCACATTGACATGAAGCAACATGCAAGTCCGTAAAACCGCTCGGTGTGTCCTGCAGGCCCTTATACAGCGTCGACTGCCGCTGCCTCAGCTCTGTGCCATGCTCATGAGATGGACCCTTTTAGAGCCGTCTATGGTGATATGTTATGATGCCGGTGGGACATGTGTGTTGCCTTCCCTCTCCGCCTGGCCTGCTCTTCGAGGCACCCGCATGGTAGATTCCCAGGGTGCGGGTCTTTGCACGTAAGACGTCGTTCATGGTCGCCACGAAGGACGCCGTCCTTCGTTCTGCGGCCACTGCGCCGGAAGTTTGTATGTGGGCGCAGGCCTGCAGCGTTGCTTTTAGTCTGGCCGTCTCCTCGACAAGCATAGATGCGCTCGAAGTCATATTGCCACCCCAGCCCTGTCATCATGTCACATATGAACTGGTCAAACATGCTACAGGTGTGATCATCAGCTCAGGCCTTAGGTTACCATCACTATACTGTGGAATCGGTGTGCGAGATTACTGCCTACTTGAATTTAAAGTGCACCGAAACCAAAACCCAAACCGTCACAACATGAGCGCCTGCAACGCACTAGCCGCACAAGCCTTTAGTGACATACATACCCTCAACCTCCCTGAACCTCTGTTGGCCTCTCTCGTTGCCTGGACAGCGGATTGGAACGCCCGGAGAGCACGCTGAGAGGCGATCTTTGCCGTGGGGTGCAGGTTCCGCTGGAGGAGTTGTCGCATCTCACGGACGTCCGTGGCCAGCCCGGCACGCATCTGCTGGAAGTCTTCGTGCTGCGAGGCTGCCAAAAGGCTGGCCGACTGAGAGCTGTCCGGGACGAATGCCTGGAAGAGGTTGCGCCTCGGATCCCAAACTCATTCAAGTGCTGGGGAGGCAAGGGCTCCGTTTTTCAGCAGCAGCACACGATGTCGCAAGCGCAAACAGCGGAGCCGAGCGGCATCTCCCGCTGAAGAACCGAAACGCCCTCTTCCAGGCTCGTGAGGATCGCTGCGTCGCCTTTCTTCACGGCGTCCCGAACACAGTGGAGGTCGCAAAAGATCCGCGCCAGGCCATGCCTTAATTAGGCAAGTGCTCCCATAGTTCCACGACTAAGCAGTCCCGTCCCGACCCGAAGCTCCAATCTCTTGCGGGATACTGTAAGGAGTTGCAGTCCTCGTTGTCAGCCGTGGCGAATCGGCTGTCTCTTGCCCAGAGCCTCATCTCATTGTTCAGCGTGGATGCGCGGCGGAACGCCTTGCAGGAAGGCCCCGAGAGCGACCCATACCCAAGCACCCGACCAACCCCATGTCATTCACTCCAAGCATGTGGCTTTCCTACGCTCTCCTTGACCACGTTCGAGGCGATCTTGCCCGTCTTGATGGTGATTCCCACGCCGAAAACACCGACCTGGTGCCAGGTACTACCTACCTAAATGCCCTCTCCATGCGTCTGCCAACCCGTATTATAGAGCCTCCTGACCGTTGAGCATCCGAGCCCTTTCGAGAACGTAACTTCACATGATGTCCAAAATTGACATTCCCTGACCCCCTTCTCAGAGATCGACAAACCAAGGCGACCCCGAAAACCAGGAAAGCGCAAAACGTGCTGCACAGTTTTCCGAACATATTTTCACGTGATGAGGAAACTTCCTGCCTGAACCTCAGGAAGCGCTGCCAACGGAGCCTCGGCCTTCTCCAAAACCTCGAGTCTCTGCTGAAACCTCAGCTGTATCGTGAGGCTTGGCAGGCCATCGCCAAGGCACTTATAAGGGCAACTCTGCATAATTACTTCACTAGATTAGGATTAGGATACGTGTCGGGAGTTGTGTGCTGGACCACTCCCGAACACTTGTCAGCCCTCTGTTCGAAACATGGACCTCAACGAGCTTGAGTTTCGAGCACGTTCGCCCTAGGTCTTGGCTTTCTGCTGAGGCACACCTCGTACTCCCTTTGCCACTGCGCCAGCTTGAAGTCCCGCTTGATCTCCCGACTGGCGCACTCCTGGACTTTCAACTGCTGTTTCGAACCCGCCCATGCACAAGCTTTCTGCCCCTGGATGTTTTATGATGTTTTAGAAGATCTCGTATTTCATCAACCATCACATTTAGCTCTGGCGTCGTTGACTGTTTTCGGTGTGAGGCCCGACGCCCCTGGCTGGTCCACATCATCAAGGTTCCACGCGTAGTAGGACATCCCTTCGCCATCATTGTCTATTTCGGACCCGAAGACGTCTCCAAAGCCATCGATGTCAGGAATGCCAAAGAAGTTGTCCGGCGGGAGGCCAGTTTTCTTCTTCTTGGTTTTTGGAGTGCTGAAAACTAAGCCACACGGGTTGTCCGTGTCTTTGAGCTCCTCCGCCACTTCGTTCATGATCTTCTGATCAAACTTCTCAGAGCCTGGGTCGGACTCCTCCTTGCACTCAGGCACGTAAGCCGGATCCTGACGGAAGAGGACAAGTGAGGACAAGTGTAGGACAAGTGGTCTGAGAGGAGCAGGTCAGTCCTCGGCAGCGAAGGTCAGCTGAGGTGGCACCTTTCGCTTCGACTGGAAACGCTTCGGCAGCTTGGCTCCGAAGGCCTCGAACTTGGCATCGAAGTCACTCACTGGGACGACCTGCACAGTGCCGAGGAGCCTTCAGATGTTCTGCGGAGTTGTAGTTTTAACGTTCCTTGCGTTTCAGAAAATGTGGGAGAATGCCTTTAAAACTAAGCCCGTGCACTTCCGTCAACTCTTCCCAGCTGTCTGAAGCCATGCTTTTCCACTATGCCTCTTTTGTCTACTTGGCTGTGGGCTCCTAGATGCTCCTAGCATTAAAAGTGCCACGTCTGAGATGCACTAGTCGTGGCGCAGTTGGCAATGACATATGATTTCCGCAAGTTGCTGAATTCACAAAATCAAAGTTGTGCAAGGATGTGACGGGACATACGGCCAGGAAATGCTCGACACTGCTCCGACTAGAATGACTCAGAATGACAGCAACCCAAAGAGTGTCTACAATGACTTTGTCATTGTGGCCACAGGGTGGCAATTGGGAATGCTGTCGTGAGTTGCTGAAGAAAATGTTGGGTGGAAGGTTTTGATACAGCAGAACTAACAGTAGCACCAAGGCCATGAGATGCTAGCTAGAGGTCTTTCAAACGTGCGCGAAGTCATTCTCTCTATAATCCAGAGCGCCCAGCGGAGCTGCTGCTTTACAGGGTCGTGGAAACAATGGCCACATATGGCCACAGTAGTTTTCACATGCTTTCAGCCAGCCGTTGACAAGGCATGACAAGAGAACATCGTAAAAAGTGCGCAACAACGTTGTGCAAAGAGCCTGCTAACGAAAGTTGAAAGCCCCATCATGCCAAACCCCCGCGCTCTCCCTCGCTCTACGCCCTGGGCCCGAAGACCTGCGCTCAAGCACGCGGTGAGCTGACCCCAATGTATAAGCCTCTTTACATTCTAAGCTCAAAGGCTTCATCTGCTTTGGCACTGCTGGTGCCTGCCAGTTCTCCCCGCCCAGCTGCTGGTCCAATGGATTTACCAGATCGCTGGAAACACATTCCGGCGTTGCGAAATCGGATACACACCACTGCCCGGTGTTCGCATTATGATACAGGAAGCCTACAGCCCTCCCGCTCCAGTCTTTCCCGTCGTATAGGGGTCGGCCAAAATCATTGCGGGCAACCGCATCGTATATCCCTTGCCGTGCTGGGTCTGGAGGCACGCGGCCTGACCCGAACTTGGTCATGCGCACGGGGTTGGCGGTGATCTGGCAACATCGGAAACGGAAGTTTGTCCACCTGCTCTTGGAGTCAATCTCAGCCTGAATGGCTTGAAGACCGCGGTCCTTGCCACAGTCGACGTCGATTTGCGAGGTGCTCCCGTCGATTGTCTGTTGCACCGAGGTCTCCTCGGTGCAGGCACCCAGGTTGGGCACCTCGACGCACAGAAAGGTGACCAGCAAGGTGCTCTTGTTGAAGGCCTGCATCAGCGTTCCAGCATCACAAGCGCAATTGATGTCGTTGCCTTGAAGTGTGCTGGACTTGTACCAGGTCTCCTCGAGACTGGCAGGCTCACTGCGGTCGTACGGTAGCTGCTGGGCGTCGTAACCCGTGCTGCTGGTGATTCCATTCCCCTCGTTGGAGGAGAGCACTGCTACCCTTAGACTCTCGTTGAACACATAAGCGGCGCCCAACCAGCCGTCATAGGGCCCCGTGTCCGGAAGCTTCCAACCGCAGCAAAAGTTTTCCGTAGCGAGGTTGATGTATTTCATTCGCTGACCGCGATTTCGCAATGAGACCAACCCAAAATAGAAAGCAAAATTTCCTTCCAGGACGGCCTTGAATGCCTGATCCTCCCTTCCATCGCAGTCCTTACATGCGGCCGGAACCGGTGCCCCTTCCCCGCACCTAATGACAAAATCTCAGGAAGCGCTCCTGTAACTCGTTGGCGATGCAGTCCGGAAGGTCTTGAGATCCCGGCTGGCAAGGCACTGCTGCAATGCACTTCTGCCAGCGGCTGTGCCTTGCGCAACACGAGTCTAGACCCTTCCGATAACGGTCGATACTTGTGGACCCTAGTTGACCCACCCTTATTTCGGGACAAGCTGAGCTGCAGCTAATTCTCTATAGACCATTCTAGATCCACACGCGCAAACAACCCCGTCGGCATGTCACATGTTCTTAGTGGGCTGGACCCTTCCACGGAGCAGCAGCCTCCTGCGCAAAAGCTCCAAGAGACTTCCATATCGAATGAATTTCTGTCCCACTGTAGTTGTCTGTGAAGAAACGAAGAAACGAAGAGAAAAGATACTCAATTGGGGCTGGACGCACGATCTGAAAACTCAACTCGATTTCCACCGGCTCCCGTTTTTTGCCGGTGGTTGCGCCGGTACAACTGCCAATAATCTGTGTCCTTGTGAACTCGATCCTGTTCAGGGTGCTGCCAAAAGGGCCGGCATTACAGTCGAGGTTCGCAGAGACGTCGAAAAGGGTCGCAGCAGTGGCGTCTGGTGCCCCCTCTACCTGACAACAAGCCGCACAAAACTCTTCCCAAGCAGACCTCCTTGGGCCCTTGCCTTGCGGCTTTGGTTGGTGTTGTAAGACTCGGAGAAGAGGCTGGCCACTGTGTTCCCGTCAAGCAGCTGCTCTGAGGAGCCGTCACACGGAGCAAGAGCTAAGCTGCCGCCTGCCAAACAACTTCGCTGATTCGGCCACACTCCTATCTTCGCGATCCTGTTTTGCATTTGCTAAAGGGCTCTGGACATGCAACGCGATTCATCTGTATTGGCTTGTCTACCGTACGCGCGTGGTGGTACATACATGGCGGTACTTACATACGCATTTGCTATTCTATCGCGTCGACACCGGATTATGAACTTCCAGATTTGCTGTAATTTTATGCTTCGTAGTTCGGTTTGCGGTGAGTTGACACGCTGTCGCCTGAAGCTCTGAAAAAGCTCTAACCAACTGTGCTTTTCGTTGTGCCGTGATGCACTGTGTTTCGGAGCTTCGGGTTTCAAAAGCGAAGCTTCTGACGTACAAGGAGCTTTGAAGACTCTCATGCGAGCTGTGGTTTGGCATCGAGAGGGTGCCCCCATGACAGACCATACTCTCACGATTCCCACTGTCGGCAACGGTGGCTCAAGCACGTCGAAAACAGCCCGCCCCTTCCGAAAGGGAACAAATTCAAACCACAGGGTGTATTATTTATTCTTTCCGTTTCAGAACCAAAACCCACTCCCAAATCCAAACGAAACAGCAGGAAACGGAAAAAACAACAAAAAAAACATGGAACCCACAGTGTGTTTTCCATTGTTTCCGCTTCGGAACCCAAATCCTTCAAATCCAAACGAAATCGCTCCGGTTCAGTTTTGGATTTTGGGGGGTGCCTGGTTTTCCGTTACCGGTTCAGGGAAAACTGAAAAAAGCGAAAACGGAAGGCCGCGGCCAAACGGAAGACACAACGGAATAAAATGTGCCTTGTTGCCAAGAAGGAAGCGAAACCCAACAAAATCCAGACTGCCGCATGCCTGGCACCTTGAACTCTATTTTCCATGACCTCCAAAATCTACACAATGTCTCGCCCTTTCTCTGGGAATCTTGCAAAAACATGTCGCGCCGTAAGCTTTTGGACTCCTCGAATTTTCAGAAGCTCTAACTTGTTAGCATCTTGACTTCAGGACTCTTCGAAGCGTTGTCCCGCAGTAGATCTTGGATGTATGAGTTTCAGTAGTGTGAAAGCTTCAAGCATTTCGATGTTGCCGCTCCCAGTAAGTGTCCAACTGAATTAAGTATTCCAAACGAGGAAAAGCAGAAGACTAAAGATCAATGTTTGAACACAAAACTAGACATCGGGAACCAAGAGGCCCATACTGACTTGTTGACGGTTTTGGGCAATCGCGACCGTCGAAGTTTCGATGTTAGGAAGCTCCAAAACTTAGAGCGATCCTTTGTAAATGATTCGGTTTGTATCTTGGTTCCCAGACTTGAGCCGGTGTTAACTAACACAGCCGTGAGGAACGCATGGCCAAGAACGACCGGATGTTCATTCCAAAGCTCAGGCCCGTGCTGATTCAAACGGGCCACGCAAATCACTGAAGAACCAAGATTCACAGAAAAGTACGAGTAGTAGATTCATAGAAAAGTAGTAGGCCCTTGTAAATGACTGAACCAAGATTCGCCCCGAGAGTTGCGGGTTCTGTTTAGCTTTAACTGTTTTACACGGGCCTGTGCTTAGGAACCCCAAATTAGCTTACATTGCCTACATGTTTCCTACAAATCAAGGTTCTTGGGTCCTGGCCCCCGTGTCAGTATACACGGCCCGTGCCGATCAGCACAGACCCGAACTGGACAGCTTTAGTCAGTCTGTGAGGCGTGTTGGTTTGGTGCTGTACCTGGGGTGGTGTTGGAGGCTGTGGGGGATGCTCCAAGTATACATGCACATATCCATCCATCTGTGTGGGAGCTCCTGGCTTCAGATTCAGCCCCAACCATCCTCCGGGTTCTGCATCCCACATAGGGTTGACGTCTGTTCCCTGCTATTGCCCTAAACTTCGAGGTAGGTCAACACTGCAGAAGCTTCAGCCCAGTGACTTGCCGTGCTCAGGCATTGCCTGTCGTCTGTCGCCGACACGAACTGTCGCCTTGAATTCAGCACTGTGTTGGCTGTTCTTACGCATATTGCCGTGGGCCGAAGGTTCATGAAAGGCTTGTGGCTCTCGGGAACGAAAAGCTCGCGAGGTTGGTGACGGGCGGACAGGCTGTGGACGTCAGTCTGTCCGGCAGAGACGAGGCCCGCCTTTCAAACAATGCCCGGTCCCGAAACAAATGTGGAGACCTGTTTTCAGCCGAGCGGACAGAACTTAGATGTAAGTCTCGACAGTACACGGGTCAAATCAACAATCGAGCCGGAGCAGAGACGTGGAATAAACAGTGTACACCAGAGTTATCATAACGTCACTCCTACAGCCGACCCCCTTTGCACAGGCAGCGGCCACAAGCTAACTCAAGTCTGAAGCGTCTATTCACCCCCTCCATGTTCCATACATGTGTCTGGTCCCGGGGCTGAAGCACCTGTTGCGCGTGGAAGTGCAGGACTGCTTCAGGAACCCCACGGCTGTGATACGTCCAGAGCATGTTGGGAGACGAGACAAGACAAGGGACGCCGATTTGCGACGTGGTAGTGGCGTCATGCCGTGTATGGATGTAGCTGCCTCTGACTCTGTGTGCCGCTCGCAGTCTCAAGGCGGAACCGACACATCCCCACTGTGCAACCGCTGGTGGCTTCGAGTCATACGGTGTTTTGTGGCTTATGATATCATGCCGGGGGCGACTCCTTCGGCGTCCATGTGTGGTGCCACGTGTCGTACCGGTGCCGAGACGGGCCACCTGATACAAACTCGGAAGGTTCGGACGATTAGGAGACTGCACAAGGCTTCAGAAGCAATGTGCGGTGAAGACCCGGAGCTGTCGCCCTACATGCCCAGCAGTACGACCAACAGCTGGCGAAATTCATGCCCAACGCCCAAGCTTGATTGAGTGCACTTGCATGCAGACCAGCCATTCTGGCGGGTTGTTCTTTACGGGACTTGGCTGCCCCCACACGGCTTACACTGGTCGAAGGAGCCATGCTGCTTGCTTCCGTGGCGCTCCTGTGGCGCGGCCGTCGGCTTTTGTTTCACGTAGAAATCGCCCAGCACCTGCTCGCCTGCACCTGCGAATCCCGCTCGAGCCAAGGCGATGTGGACCTTGAAGCCCTCAAAGAAATAGAGCTCCTGACGGTTGCTTCGTCTACGGGTTTCGGCACTTGAGTGGCGACCGCGACAGCATCAAAGGGCTTCAAGCAGGAGTCACAACTCCTTGACAAACAAGAAGCACGCGCATAGCCGTGAGGCTTGGATAAAACAGCGCGAACAGAAACCAAGCGCACAACACATGTGGGAAGCAACTAATTCGTGACTAGAAGTCATAATTTTAACTAGTATCCAGAACATACTGGATGCTATTTGGAGAATTACGAGTGTAAAGCTCCTGCCAGTTGCGCGAGTCGAGGTCCTGGTAGTAGCTGCTAACGACCTGGACAAGGGCGATGCATGAGAACTGGCTCAAGCCGTCGGCCCCATCTCGGTCGAGCCATTTGCCATTTGCGCAAATCTGCTCGAAGTTGGTTCTGGGAAGCGAGCTGTAGCGCTCGGACCAACAAGTTGCCTTGAGCAGCGTGCCATGGGCGTAGCTGCTCCGAAACAGGGACTTGCTCAGCGCCCGTCTCAGCGGAGTGCCTTCCGCTGGCACCACCGCAAACTTGCAAAGCTCGCACACCTCGACGCCGACACCCCCCACGAACAGCGCCTCGTCACACTGTTCGAAAAGGGCCTGGGCACTAAAACACACACGTAAAAAAAGTTTTGACAGTATTCCTTTCCACGGTGGCAAGTAGAAACAAAACCATCTGAACACT